ACTGCGCCCAGGATTTTCCCCTTAGTCTCAAACCCTTGGCCTGGAACCTCTCTCCCCTCTGCCTTTCCTCAGGGCACTTTGCCACCATCACCTTGACCTTCATTGACAAGAATGGAGAGACTGAACTGTGCATGGAAGGCCGAGGCATCCCCGCCCCTGAGGAGGAGAGGACACGGCAGGGCTGGCAGCGCTACTACTTCGAGGGCATCAAACAGACCTTCGGCTACGGCGCACGCTTACTCTAGGGCCGGCAGTGGGAGCTTCGGCTTGCCCGACACCTCAGTCCAGCCCTCTCCTGACCGAGGCTTGACTCACAGGATTGCACCATCCCAACCACTAACTTGGGGCCGGGGCCCTTCCCTCCACGTATACCTTGGGTTTGTGCATGTTTTCTGCTGGGTGGGATTAGAGGGCGATTTCTCTTTTATGTGTACATATGCTAAATAAACGTAATTTAAAAAATGTGCATTATCTGGATCCTGTGTTGATTGGATGGTTGTTACTAAGAGTTCCATTGAAGGTTCTGAATTTTATAGAAAACTGGAAGGTTGGAATAAGGCCTTGACCCCATTCTGGAGAAGTGTCTGTAATTGGGAGTGTGCATATCACCAAGCATGCTGCAGACTGGCAAAAAGTGCTGTTCCCCTCACTGACGGGAAGGTGAAGGCGGGGTGGTGCTCCGGGTTAACCTGTGCCAACATCACTGGTGGAGGTGGGATCCTGGGCTTTCCACTCTCCGTGACCTCTTAACCTCTTACAAGAATGGGTGACCACCAGGTGCAATTTGAGATGTGGACGGAGATTCCCACCCTGTGGTAGAGAACTATACTCCTTGAGTTAACAGGTGCTGTTTACTGAGCAGTTACTATGTACCAGACGTGACTCTAGTTTCCTTGTGTTGGCTCCTTTAACCCCTAAAAGCCCTATGAAATAACATACATTCCCATGCACAATGTGTACTTTTCCCCTAGTTTTTTGAGAGAAACATAAGGATGCATGTTACACATGGGTATAACAGTCTTGTGTGTAATGTGCAGAAAAACAGGTGTGCATTATACATGACAAAATACAGCAGATACTATCATCTGTTCTGCAAGAACCTTAGCCTTGGATTTCTTAAAACATCCAAAACCCAACTGGTGGTAGCAGAGTTGGGATTTGGAAGAAGGGCCGTAACTGCAGAGCCAGTGCTCAAGTCTAAACCACTGCATCTGGTTCTTCCCTGTGCTGGGAACAGCTCTCCTGCCACGGCCCCCATTCCCTGAGAATGCACACCTGTGCTGAGTCTGCCCCACCCTGCGGTCAGGAGCACTGCGGCTGCTGGACTGGCCACAGCGGTGGTAGACCCACTGACGTGAGCCCCTCAGCAGCTTGGTGGCCCCACGTCCCCTGACCTCACTTACTTCTACCTGCAACTTCCAACCAGCACCATTTCAAGGGACATGCACACAGCAGCCAAGTTCATTGGGGCAGGCCCTGGGCTGGAATTGGGGCTGTCTTTGGGAGCCGCCTCATTGGTGATGCCAGGAACCCTTCTCTGAAGCAGCAGCTCTGCTAGGCCATTCTGGGCTTTGCCCTCTGCGAGGCCACCATCAGGTGATGGTGGCCTTTCTCATCCTCTTCGCTATGGGAAGGAGTGACCTCCACCTCCCACAGCACTCCCACGTCTAGGGGTGTGCGCTAGTGGGCTCACCCCGCTGTGTGGCAGGGGCAGGGACCAGCCCTTTCTCCTGGCAACCCTGCCCTGGCATCCTGCACCCGGGGCGAGCCAGTGACTGCTAGTCCAGACACTGCCTCCCGCAGCTACAGCTGTTTTCCTCCTCCTATTTTTACCTGTTTTATTAGGTGGCAAGCCTGCAGGCGAGTTCTGCCAAAATGACTTGGCCAAGATGTGTAGTTAAAACAGAAAAGAAGCACTATCCGGGATAATGTAGATCCCCAAAAGCCACTTTTGTCTGGAATTTTTCAAACAAGAGCCTAACCAAACTAATTTGCATCTAATTCAGCATTTATCTGCTAGCCCGGGGAGACACCCATTGATAAAAAGCCTGGACTGGCCCTGGCCAGTGTGGTTCAGTTGGCTGGAGCGTCATCCTGTCCCTGAAAGACTGGGTTCAATTCCCCGTCGGGACACAAATCTGGGTTGTGGGCATGATCCCCGATCTGGGTGTGTGCAGAAGGCAACCAGTCGATGCTTCTCTTTCGCATCAGTGTTTCCCATTCTCCCTTCCTCTCCAAGAGCAATTAAAAACAAAACCTGGACTCCAGCTTAAATTAACAGGGGCCCCTCCTAACCCAAACCCCACTCCTAACAGAGACCAGTGACAAAAAAGGAGCCCTTTCGCACCTGGCTGGAGAGTTACCAATTCCAGAAAAGGGCACGAATAAGAAGTCCTGCGGTAGAGTGTCCTAACACCTTCACACAAATGAACACCGAAGCAGCAAGCCCAGCGTCTGCGAGGTGACGTGCTCAGTACCAGGCCGCACCCCCAGCACCAGCGCCCACCCGATGGCTGTTCCAGTTTTCACTACTGTCGTGTGACGGCAGTTAGCTGCTGCATCTACAAGGCAGGATGATGCAACTAAAAAACGTGGGCTTGGCTGGACTTGGCTGGACTTGGCTGAACTGTAAATATGCCTCTTCCGAACAAACAGGATGAATTTCCTCAGCTGCATTGTGGGTATGCCAGGTGCCTCGTGAGGGCATTCCAGGCGATGCACGCATAAATGCTGGCACCTGGCAGCACTCAGCAAACAGCACCTGTTACTTCTGTACTCATGAGCCCAAGTGTTTTCCCTGGAGTGAGAATTAATATTTTGAAAAGGTGTTTAATAGGCCAAATTGCAAATCCTAGGCCAAGAAGTCACCGCACCTAGAACCACCTGTTAAATGTAGAAAGTGAACCTCACCTCTAGAGATTCTCACTCAGTGGGTATAGCCCATGAACTTGCTCACTTTAAAAAAAAAATTATTGATTGATTTTAGAGAAGAAAGGGAGGGGGAGAGAGAGAAACATCAACCAGTTGCCTCTCATATGCACCCCAACTGGGGGTCGAACCCACAACCAAGGCATGTGCCCTGGATGGGAATTGAACCTGCAACCTTTCGGTTACAGGACCAGACCCTCCAGCCAACTAAGCCACGTGGCCAGAGCATGAACTTTCATTTTAATAAACATCTCAGCCAACTTCTCTACCAGGAATAAAGCTTGAGAAGTGCCTCAGCATGTTAAGAAAATCTAATTGCGATGGGGGAGCCAAAGAAGCACCCTTGGGTCCCTTTTGTAAATAACAGGATGAAGGATCAGAAGCACCCTGTCATCCGGGAGACAAGGGCGGTTGGCAGGATCTGGCGGCGTTTGTGCTGTGGGTGGGTTTAAAGCCTAAGAGGAATTCACCTCGACCAGTCTTACCTACCTTGGGACCCTTTAACCAGAGGGGGAGAATTGGGCAGAACCCTCTTGGCGGCTGGAGCAGCTCAGTGGGAAACAGCTGCCGTGGCCATAAGCAATAGGTGGCCGGGGGGGCTCCCAGTGTTTGGGACAGGAAGAAGAGTAAATCACACTGGAGACTTGACTGACACCGGCCCAGAGTGGGGGAGGTGCCCTCTGATTTCATGGGCCCCTCCTGGCTGATACCAGCTGATACCGAAATGTGCCCTTCTACCCTTCTACGGGGCTGGGCGCTCTCCCTCCCTCTCTCCTTCCACACAGGTGCTGCCTAGGCCCGCAGCCACCTGCAGCGTCTCTCTCCTCCGCAGAGTCTGAACCATTGTTAGAGCTGACCTACTCCCCAGCCCCTTCAAGGTTCCATTCAGTCCTTTCTTAACTTTCTCTCATCTGTGGCCTGACAGGGTAGCAATTTAGTGTGTCACTAGGATTACAGATTAAAAATGGGACTGGCCAAATACCATTTGGGTAGTAAACAGCCATGAGGTACAGATTAAATTTAGACAGCGTGTGTAAGTGTCAAGGTAACTCAGTTGGTTAGAGTCATCCCGATATGCCAAGGTTGCGAGTTCGATCCCCAGTCAGGGCACATACAAGAATCAACCAATGAATGAATGCACATATTATAAATGGGACAGCCAATCAATGTTTCTCTTTCTTTCTCCCCCTTCTTCTCTCTCAAAAAAATCAATAAATTCAAAAGAAAAAGGAGGGGAATTTGCAGTTTTCTGTGAAAATAGAGTCTAGGACAGGGGTGTCAAACTCATTTTCACCGGGGGCCACATCAACCTTGTGGTTGCCTTCAAAGGGCCGAATGTAAGTTTAGGACTGTATAATGTAACTGCTCCTTAACAGTTAAGCGAGAGCTCGGCGCTGCCGCTGGGTAGAAACAAGGTGCTGGGCCGGATAAAATGAGGTGGAGGGCCGATTCGGCCCCCAGGCCTTGTGTTTGCCACCTGTGGTCTAGGAAGTCTCTTACTTTTATTAAATTTCCGCTAGAAAAGAATTAAAACATATCCATGCTAATTGTATTGAGTTCCACAGCCGAGAGAGAGTATGAGCTTGGTGACCTGGTGACCTAGGTGTCTTCAGACTGCAGCCCAGGACCAGACTAGTAAACTTACCTGCAGGTGTGATGCTCATCAGGAACGTGTGGCTCTCTGGCTTCTCCAAGTGGCAGCTCGAAACACACCTTGCCTCACTCTTTATTGTTTTTTTTTTAAGAATTTATTTTTAGAGAGGGGGGAGGGACAGAGAAAGAAAGGGAAAGAAACATGGATCAGTTGTCTCTTCTATGCGCCCCATCCAGGGACTGAACCCACAACCCAGGCATGTGCCTTGACTAGGAATCGAACTGGCAACCTTTTGCTTTGTAGGACGATGCTCAACAAACTGAGCCACACGGGTCAAGGCTTGTTCTGCTTTGTTTCCTCCATGAGTCTCCTTCCTTCCCCAGAGGCCAGGAGTGATCACGGAGTGTCTAGTAAGGGCACCAGCTAAGGCAGGGCACAGGTCCCGCCCTGGCAGCGTGTAGGTACAGTCCTTGGGGCAGCTCTGTGTCGGGTCCCCTTGTGGCGAGTTAACCTGGGGAAGTGGGGCCACTTCCTCTGGAGTAAATGCAATGTACCTCTTTGAGCAAAATACTCGGAGTGAAGGTGCCTCCCAGGCAGCCCTTTACGAGGGTGGGTGTGGCCTAACCTCTGCCCCCAGGAGCTCCCTCTGCCGGGCTGGCTGAGTGGTCAGACACAACCCGAGGGGCCTGGAAGCAAAGGCTCGCCACCCAGCCCCGCGCGGCTGGGCCCCGATTTCTTCGCCAGACAGAACTGGAAACTAAAGTGCTTTATTGCCAAGGGTCCCGGAGAGCTTCTGGGCAGCTGTCCAGGGGCTGGGAGTGAAGTCCCCTTCCTTGTGGAGGAGGCCTTTGTGGACAGGGACCTCGGGGGCTTCAGCATTTCGACCCCATAGAAGGCAAGGAAGTGCGGGTGGGGCCGCGCAGAGGCAGGAGGGGCTGCGAGCTGTGCTGGGAGACCGGACTGTGCGCATCTCTGCCCCGCTCTGAGCTCAGTGCCTCCGGTGCCGTCGCTGTGGGAGCCCCAAGTGGGTCACAGCAGGAGTGTCTATATCGCAGGAGGGGCCCCCTTCCCAGGGGACTGCTTTGCCGGCGCCACAGGGGCATGGCACACTCCTGAGCTGGTTCTCAGTCCACCCCAAGCCTGGCCGCAGTGACAGCTGGAGCGGTGCCCTCTCCCAGCCCTGCCCACTCAGGCAACCTGGACAGAACAGAGGTGGGCTGGACGAAGGGGCCTGAACTGGGTGGTCCCTTCCCCACCTGCAGCCTGCCTTGGCTTGGCCGCCCCAGCCCATCTGTCCACTGGTAGCCTTCAGTCCAGGACAGAAGTGGTGTCCACTGAAGGGCAGCTCCCAGCCGGGGAGAAGCTTTCTGCTTGGTGGCTCCCAGCAGGTGGTGGGGCAAGAGAGCCAGGTGCAGCCCCTCAGAGACAGGGGAGGGCTGGTTGCCCAGGGCTGACAACGGGCAGCTGTGGGGAGGCTGCAGCGAAGGGCTGGCTCTCAGGGCTGGGGGTCGAGCGAGTCACCACAGGTCCTGGGGACCAGGCCGTGTGTGGCAGCCCGAGGGCCTGGCTCACGAGGCTGAGCAGACCCAGGGCAGGGGAGCCCGGCTCAGGGGAGGGCAGGAGCGTGAGCGGCCAGGCAGGGAGAGCGCCTCCTCGCAGGCAGGAGAGGGAGGCCCCACAGACAGAGATCCCCACTGCACCCCCGGGCCCTGGGCCCGGGCTCCTGCCCCACACCCTGGGGCCTGTGCACCCAACCTTCTCTCCAGCCCAACCCGACACTCGGGTGCTGACCTGCCTCGGTTCACAGGCTGAGGGGCCACTGGGAAAGTACCCCAGCCAGCGGCCCCCTCCTCAGTACTCCTTGGCCTCCTGCAGCTGGGCCAGGAACTCCTCCTCGGGAGGGTTGTCAGCACAGGCCCGGCCGTTGTTGGGGGGCCGCGCGGCGTGGTAGCGGCTCCAGTCCCCCTTACACAGGATCCAGGGCTGCTTGTCCACCTTGAAGTGCAGCTCAGGTGAGAAGTCGGTGCTGACCAGGTCCGGCGCGCCGGCGCCCTTGCCGCGGGTCAGCAGCCGGCCGCCCGCGTCGTAGCAGCAGTGCTGGGCGGCCGGGGTGCTGCTGCCCTCGGACAGCAGGGAGCGCAGGCAGAGGCGGGCCGTGGGCTGGTACACATCCAGGCGCTCTCTTGGGCCACTGGCATCCTTCCACTGGAAGCTGCGGCCCTGGCGCTCGTCCCGCAGGCTCACGGCCTCGTCCGCAGCCTCTAGCGGGTATGTGCACGGGCAGCTGGGCAGGTCCCGCAGCACCTGGCTCAGGTACTGGGCGAGGAAGTCGCTCCTGCAGTTCAGCCACTTCTCACAGCTGTCCACATCTGCAGCGGGCGGGGAAGTGGGGGAGGTGCGGTCAGCCCCTTGGTGTGGTGTGGTGTGGGGGGTGCTGGTCCAGGGCCGGCGTGTGGGGAGGAGGCCAGCCCCAGTGGGTCCACAGGTGTGGCCTGGTGTGGCCTTCGGACCAGCACCAGAACTGGGGGCAGCCCGACCCGGCCTCCTCTGCTGGCAGGCAGCGGCTCCCGCACAGCACCCGGGCAACCTGAAGCAAGAGGCCACGGCCTGAAACAGACCCTGGCCAGGGGGCTGGAGGAGGGGCCCAGACTCCCCCTGCTCTGCCAGCCGTTGCTCCTTTAGGTGCTGGGTGGTAGGCGAGGCCCTGGGGAAGGTGCTGCGTGTTTGGGGCCGGGAGAGCAGTTTAACCACATGGTAAGGACGTGTTTCACATTCAGGGTGGGGCGAAAGTAGGCTTACAGTTGTTCGTATGGAAATAATACAACGATTAAGAAATAATAATACAAGAACAAACTCTGTTTTGCATACTCACAACTGGAAACCTGCTCGGGCCCCACCCTGTCTTTCCCCACTGGCCCATTCCTGTCCTTCGCGCTGCCTTTCTCAGGCCGCGGGACTTTGGGCGAGTCACCGCGCCACTCCGGGCCCCCAGGGGCCTCCTCTCTCTGTGCTGGCCCCCTCACCTCTCTACCTTGAGAAAAGTGGCTTCTGACACCCAACACACAGAACAAATTGCTCCTTCCTGCGCTCCAGACTTCTTCTGGGCACACCTTTCAGCACAGTGCTCCCAGTGGCCAGGGGGCTCACCCTGGAGACCCGAGCTCCTTGAGGACAGGCACCAGACCGTGGTCCTCTGGGAACCCCCTGCCCCAGCACACTGCTGGTGCGCAGCGAGCTTCTACACTGTTGAAGCTACAGCGTTGAGCAGGGGCCTCCTCTGCAAGGGAGGCTGCCGGCAGCCCACGGGCCCCTTGCGAGGTGCAGCTGAGACCCAGTGACAGATGCCGAGCGTGCTGGTGAGAGCACAGCCTGCCCCAAGCTGCTGGCAGGAGCAGCCGGGAAGATGCGGACCCCAACCCACTCCTGACGGCAGCCCCTTCCCAGACAAAGCCTGCCTGGGGGTCCCCAAGGGGGACCCGGGAGTGAAAGCCAGAACGGCCCCTTCCCGCCCTGCTGCCAGGGAGAATAGGCCCCACAGGATGATCTCCATGCTCTGTGGCTCCCATCAAGCTCTTCCCAGCAGGAGCACCAGGCTGGGAGAGGCCATGGGCCTGCCCAGGGGGCGGCTCAGAAATGCTAGGGCCCCCTTGCTGGGGAGGCTAACCTTCCAGCGGGAGGATGCACTCTCTGCCTTGGTGGATGGAAGCAAGATTGCGGCCGTGCAATGACCTCCCGAGGCTCCACCTTTGGAGAGAGGTCCTCCCCGCCCCCCAGGCCTAGCCCCCCACTGACCTGGGCCGAGCACGTCCGTGGCATTGTAGATCAGGGGATGCCCCTCCTCACTGTGGAAGCCCAAGGGCTCCTTGGCCTTGGCACCTTTGGGGAGAGAGGAGGCCAGGCTGGCAGTGCCTCGGGGCACCTCTGTCTTCCCGCTGGGCAAGCCCAGCTCTCACTAGGCTCTCGGTGCCCATAGCATCCGGGACAGACCTGGGACGAGGCAGGACTGCCATGTCTGTGAGCTCCCTGCTTCCCCTCTCCCAAGTCCACCCCGGGTACAGGGCCCACGTGCCCACATTCCCAGGGGACCAAGCCCAGAGTGTAAGGTGCGGGACTTGGTGGCAGTGCAGGCGTGGCCGCAGGGCCGTGTCCTCTGCTGGCTGCCACCACCGCAGCTCGCACTGCAGGAAGACCAGGGGCCCCACTCCTCTTGGAGCTCGTAATCTGGGTCAAGGCAAGGAGCCAGGGGTGAGTGAGCACAGCCCACAGGGCACATGGGAGAAAATGAGCAAAAGGCACCCTTTCCTAAGCAGGACGCAGCACGTGCCAAGGGCTCCGACACTAGTGCACGGAGCAGGGGCCGGGTTTCCGCATCCCCTGCACAGTGAACACCTGGCAAACGGAGGCGGCGGCCCTGGAGAGAGAGCACAACCCCCAGCCACACACTCTGTGCCAACACAGCAACGAAGAGACGAAGACAGCTGGGCTGGAGGCTGCCTGGCCGGTCGGTGTGACCTTGAGCAAGTCCCTCTCCACCCCTGAGCTATAGCTTTTATGTCCGTCAAAACCCAGGGCAACAATACTCCCCTGCCTCTGGGGGTATTAAAACGTGCCCCTGCTGCCCATGTTAGGAAGCCGGTCCTGGCGGGAGGCCCGAAACACGCCGGGACTGTGCCCTCTGGCTGTGCAGGGCCCCCCAAATAAAGGCACAGCCAGTAGGTACGCCTAGGTCTCACCAGGCCCACGCAGGCCAGCACCACGAGTGTAAGGATAACAAATGGAAGAAAAGCTGAAAGTCATGAAAATTCTGCCTGCGAGTTTATATTATCTTGGCGAGCTGGGAAAAGCCTGCTACGATGCAGTCTTACTCACAGGCCCCTCCATCCAACGACAGAGCACCGGGGCCGTGGGGAGAGGGGCCGCAAACGTGCATGAAGTGGTCTGCACCCTGAGCTGCAACCCGCAAAAATAAAAGTGGCCGTCACGCGGGCGGGGCTGCGGCAGGCTTTAGGTAATATCCTCTGAATGGACTGTATTATATTTTTTCTAATAAAAATAATCAATACAGTGTTTACTGTATGCTGGCACTCTGAATGTATTAACTGACTTAATACCCTCTGCACCCAGTCCTGTGTAGTGAGGGCTGTGCCATTCTCAGTATACACGGGGCAAGAAACTGAGGCACAGAGAGCTTAGGTGTGGTGGGATTTATAATATTTTCCAATTTGTTGGGGACATAGATAGGAATATCTATAATATTAAAAATGTCTGTCTTGCTTAGGGGATCTCAGAGCTGCTGTGAGGGTCAAGTGGGGAAGACTTTGCAAGCCATGGGCGATGCCACCATTCAGCTGGTGGTGGCGTCTGCAGCCCTGAGCTCCTGGTCTCCCCGCTGCCCCTGTCCAGGAAGCTCTCAGCCCTCTCTCTACCCGCACTTCCACTCTGGACCACAAGGGGCAGCAGCCAGGGGCACCAAGATGGGAGTGCTCACCGTAGCTGTCCAGCAGCTTGAAGTCCCAGTTCCGAGGGGCTAGCCAGCCTTGCTCCCAGACGCCTGTGGCCCCACTGAACCCAGCCTTCTCCTTGTCGTCATCCTCCTCGTCGTTGCTCTCCTGGGCCTCCCTTTCTCCGTACTCTGGAGGGTAGTCCTCCTCCTCCTCCTCACTGTACTCTGAAGGGTAGTCCTCCTCGTCCCCTGGGACGCTGCCCTTGAGACTGGACCCCCCCTCCTCACCCTCCGTGTAGCTCCAGAAGAGGGGCCAGAAGAGCTCCTTGGTAGGCTGCCAGCTGGGGGCGCCCTGGAGCCCATGGCTGCTTGGCTCAGCCAACAGGTCCATGTGCACCTGGGCCTGGGGGTCCTCCACCGCCTCGACGGTCACCTGCAGGGGGACAGACCCCAGGCCGGGCAGTGAGGGAGGGCTCAGAGCTGGACACCAAGGAGAAGGAAGATGACGAGGGCAGGAGCGGTGGGGGAGGAGCCTGACGTTTTTGGCCTTCCAGGGCACGTGGGGTCCCAGCTTACAACCTGGCTGTGCATCAGAATCCTCTGGAGATTTTTGTTTTTAAGATTTTATTTATTTCTTTCCAAAGAGAGAAGAGGAAAGGGAGAAACAAAAGGAGAGAAACATCAATGTGTGAAAGAAATATCAATCAACTGCCTCTCGCACACCCCACACTGGGGTCCTGGCCTGCAAACCCAGGCATGTGCCCTGACTGGGAATCGAACCAGTGACCATTTGGTTCGCAGGCTAGTGCTCAATCCATGGAGCCACACCAGCCAGGGCTCCCCTGGAGATTTCTGACTCCCCAACACAGCCTCAGACATGGATTTAACTGGTCTCAGGTGGGGCTGGGCACAGCGGCTCTAGCATGTGCCGGGGTGGAGACCCACTCGTGTAACAGAAGCTGGCTTTGAAGCAGCCTCAGGGGCCACGCACAGCCCTGAGCCCCCATGTCCTCACTGCAGAACCAGGAACTAACAGCAAAGACGGCAGATCCCCTGCCCCTGTCCCAGGGGAGCAAGGGCAGGGGTTCTCTTCCGCCACCTGGTGGAGGGGGAGTACGTAACATGAAATAATTTATGTAAAAGTGAAGTGTAAAAACGTCATTTGCGGTCATTATAAATGAATCTGAAACCACTGAACAAAATTCGGGGTGGGGGGAAACAGTGGAACGGAAGGAAGCAAGTGAGCGTTGACCGTGCTCCGTCACCAACGGAGAACGTTTTGGAGGTCAGCTTCCAGGTTTCACATGGACACACACGCATGCACTTTCCACAAAGTCAGTTATGTTCTACATTCTTCTCCTTTGGAGGAAGTGTTTTGTAACTATAGATGCTACACAGAAATGCGGAGTTGTTACCACCAGGGACTCACACTGGCAGTAGAGTGTGTAACCTGGAGCTCCCCTGTCCCCCCACCAGCCCTTCAGGGGGCTGCCCTGAGGAAGGGGTTGGGCCTGGGGTGGGGGGAGCAGACCTTCAGCCTTTTCCATGAGGCCACCCCCCAGATTTCCAGAACCCACTGCAGCTCAAAGAGCCCTCTCCACTCGTTGGGTCCTCATGACACCTGGCCGGGTGGTGCTGTCTGTCCCTTGCTAGGGACTCAGAGCCACATTCGTTGCTCATGGTCTGCAGTTAAAAAGTGGAGAAGCAGGTCCTCCCAGTCTATAACTAACTCCACAGGGACAGCACAGGGAGTCAACTTCTCCCACCCCACACGGGACCTGCGCCTGACCTCGGAGTGGGCCACCGAGCCCAACTCTCTGCAGGTGGTCACTGGGCCCACGGTCCTTCCGTGGCTCTCACCTGGATATTGGGGTTTGGGGTACTCGAGTCTGTGTTGGCCAATCCTCGCAGCTTCTGCAGCTCCGGCAGCAAGGGAGTGTCCTCCTGGGTCCCAGCAAAGGCCGCCCCTTCCAGGGTCAGAGCCCTGTGTTGGCCCCGCCTGGAGGCGGGTTCCTGGGAATGGTGGCGTCTGCTCCTCTTCCCCAGGAGAGCTGCGATCAGGGGAGGCTGAGACCTAAGGGGGAGAGAAGGGGAGGGAGAGGTGACGGAGGTCAGGGCTCGCCCCTTGTGGACCCCAAAAAGGCTGGTTGCGGGCAGTGGGGGGAATTCGGGAGCTGGGGGTCTGGCCGATCACAAACCCACCTGCGACTGCACATCCGAACTCGACCACTTGAGGGCCTCGGAGGGTGAGTGAGGTGTTTCCACCAAGCACGTGGACAAAGGGTGCCAACGTGGAGCATGAGTGGAGGGTTAAAATCAGGGTTCTACACATGGAAGACACAGTCAACCTCCTCATTTTTCCGAGGAAGAAACAGGCACGGCGCTTCCTCCATCTGCAGCCTCTGGGGCACAGGGACGAGCAGGCTTGAGGCAGCAAGAGTTCAGGGTCATGCAGCCTTTCTGGCTGATCCGGAATCCCTTGCCTCCTGGGCAGGTGGTTAAGCAGTGGTTCTCCTCTGGGGACATTTGGCAATGCCTGGAGACACCTGTGATTGTCACAACTGGAGAGGAGTGCTCTCGGCAACTAGGGGATAGAGGTCAAAGGTCCCACAATGCACTGGACAGCCCTTGCAACCAGAATGACCCGACCCAGGATGTCAACAGTGCCGCAGGTAAGAAGCCCTGCTCCCGAGTCAGGCTGTCTGGGTCTGAGTCCCGGCAGTGGCTGGCACCTGACCTGTGGGGCCGTGGCAGGGGACATAGCCTCTGTGAGTGTTCTTGTCTATAAAGCAGGGACAATGGTGGGAAAGAGCTGGAACCTAGCAGGGGCCGAGAATGTTCAGTCAGCTCTCCCCGGTGCCCAGCTGGACCAGAGGATGAGCGGAGGCCCTGAAAGCCCTGGCCGAACGTCACAGCCACGCACGCCCCTCTGCTAGCGCAGCCTCCTGCTCCGTGCATCAGCCCAGGGGGCTTCCTGGGTGTGCGCCGGGGAGGGGTGGGAGGAGCCAGAGACCAGGATTCAAGGGCAAGTAGTGCCTTTGGAAGGTGATCTGATCCTCAGAGACACCACCGTTGGCAGGGTTGGGGAGAGACCAAGTCAGGAAGGGAGGCGGCCAATAAAGAATACTCCATCAGGCTAGTGACCAAGGTGGGCAACTGGAGAGCTACCCCAGCGGGCGCCTCAGTTCTCCCCCCAGAGGAGGGGAGCTGGGCTATCTACCTACCAACCCCACCAGCCTTGGGCGGAGGGCTGCTGGGGGCGGGGCAGAGGGTCTGCTCCGCAGGCAGGTGCTTGAGCTTAGTGCCCGAGAACGCCCTGGACCAGCTGGACGCTGGCTGTACCTTCCTCCTTTTTCTTTCTAAAAGTAAAAATCCTCTTGGATTTTTTTTCATTTAGCAAAAACTGGTATTAATGTGTCTTCTATAAAAGTAAAGTGACGGAATGTGAACTTTCGTAAAGCGGGGCACACCTGTACGGAGATAGCTCTCCACTATTTTCTCTTCCTCTGTCACACTCACACACACACACACACACACACACACAGCACAACTACACATACCCTCCCCAGGCTTGGCCAGCAGCCCTGCCCCACGTGTTTCCAGCTAACACAACAGCCCTCATGCCCACAAACCCTCCCTGCACCGCACCAGACGGCCTGCTGCCCTGCTGCTCTGTCTGCTGCGGCTCCCCGGTCTCCCATCTCCTCTCTGACTCGGGTTGGGAACCTGTTCTGGATAACGGAATCTAGTTGCCAGGTGCTGACCAGCCCCTCCCCTCCCCGTGGCCCCAGCTGCTGAGGCCCGGCCAGCGCACGCAGAGCCAGGCTGCGCGCAGAGTGACTGGGTCTCCCAGGAGGGGCGGGAGACCCAGCACTGAACAGCCATCGCCTCCTCAGCCTGGCTGGAGGACCACAGGCTGCGGGAGGGCGCTGGGCTTCACCCTCCTCGCCAGGGTGCACCGGTCTAACCCTAACCCTCACCCTGGCACCCCGTGGAGACCTCAAAGCTCCTCACTGTAATAAGAGTACTCCCGACAGAGCACAGCCTCCAAGCACCAAGGCTGGCTCATGCTGCGTGGCCTGTGCCCAGGGCGCTGCGCCTCGTTTAATGCTCTGCTGTGGCATTCTGCACGAAGTCCCACAAACGACGCAGCAGGTCCTGCCGAGCACCCTGTCTGTGTGGACACTTTGGGCAGGTACTAGCATCCCCCCTACTTCAGGGATCAGGCAGTCCAGGGTCAGAGAGGTGAAGGAATGAACGTGCTTGCGTCCCAGAGGGGGCTGGCGGGGCAGGTTAGAGGCAGGTGGTCTGGCGGGACTCTGAGCTCTGCCACCTCCCGGCAGGGCCTGTGCCTTCTGGTTCACTGCCCGCCACTCTGGGGTGGTGAGTGCACGGAACAAACAAAACACTAGAACAGGATGTTCCGCTTTCCACATCCATCTTTCCCTTTGATTCTCGTATCAACCCAGCGGGGTGCCAACGGGAGAACCTCAATTAGGAGACTGAGATCCAGTGAGGTTGGGGACTTGCCTGGGACCATGAGTGGACTGCCTGGTCCTGTCCTTCTCTCCCTCCATCAACCAGCTTTCTGGTGATTCTGAGCTCTAGGAGCAAGAACGGTCTGGAGGGAGAACGAGGGTCACAGTTAAGGACCAGAGAGGTGCACAGCTGCAGGAGGGGCTAAGAGCTGAGGCCACAGGCTCAGCACTGTGTGGACCTGAGTTCAAGTTCCCCTCTGACACTCACAGATTGGGCTAGAAAGACCCCCTCCGAGGAAGGCCAGTCTTCAGGAAAATACCTGCTTCTTGGTGGAGGCTCCTCCCTCTGAGCGTAGATAGCTCTTGCTCTCAGCCCGTCCCCTTCTTCCCTGGCAACTCAGTCTGCTGCCGCAGCAGGGACCTCCCCAGCGCTGCCCACATGGGACCCTTCACGCGGGACAGCCCCTGCAGCCTGGAAGAGCTATCCTCTCAGTTCTTCTCTTGCTTATTCGAATCTCCGTCACCCTCTCTTGTACACTGATGGCACAGCCCGAGCTCTGCCCCAAGTCCCCAGCACCCCTTGCCCGCACCCCACGGTTTTCCTTTGCCTGCCTAGGAGGTGGTGGGCACCAGTCCTGGGGTCTGGGGCCCTAGAACTATAAGCAAAGCTGGGTTTGGATCCGGGCTCACCACTTACTAGCTGTGTGGCCATAGGTTACTTATTGGACCCACTGTCAGTCCCAAAAATGAGGATAACAACAAACAAAATTCTGGGCACGGCGGCTGTGAGGCTGCTGCTCTGACCTTCACCACAGAGGACACCCCGGGCAGAGCTGTGCCGTTCTTTGCCTGTCCAGTGCCTTGGAACTAACGGCCGGGCCCGGCCCCTGGCGACAATGGTGCCTTCCATGCACACGTGCTGTGCTTTCACACCCAGCACTCACCCGACAGAACAGGGTCTCTCATTTCCATCTGACTGGGAGTAAACTGAGGCCCGGCAACAGGCCTGCCCAGAGAAGGGGTGGTGTGTTCTGTTCAAGATGCTAATGATTTCAAGACTTTTCAAGGGTTTTGATGAACGTGCTGTGAAATGACATGCAGAGACAGACCACAAGATCCCCAGCGTAGCTCTTGAAATGACAGACCTGGCTCCCAACCCCAGCTGGGTTTAATGTCGCTGCGCCTCAATTTTCTTATCTGGAAAATGGGAATAACGCCCAGGTTGTGATGGTGTGACAATGAAATAACATCTTGCGAAGTCTTTGTGCCCCCTCTGCAAGGCCCAGGGGATGCCCACTGCCCCTCAGCCACCCTACACTGTTACATTTGGGGAGTTCATGTTCTTCGGTTTCTACATAAAGCTCTCTGGGTTGGTCGGTGACTCCTGACATACCACCCAAAGCCTTAGAATGGGAGCCTGTGTTCTCTCAACAATTCCCTGGCTACCGTCTTGGCTGAGGAACAGCTTTCACAGACGTCACACAGTCGCGTGGAACAGCGTGTGAGCTGGACAGGCCCGTGGAGATGACTTAGGCCCTTGTCTGAAATGCCAGGAAACTGTCTGGAGTGAGTCACACAGGAGTTATTGATGCCCTGGGGCCAAAACCCCAGGCCCTGGGCTCCAAGCTCTGGTTTTCCCCTCCACAGCACTGATTTGCGTTAACATGCTGTTGGGCCCTGACCGGTGTGGCTCAGGTAGTTGGGCGTCATCCTGCAAAGTGAAGGGTCACTGGTTCGATTCCGGTCAGGGCACGCGTCTGGTTTGTGGGCACGGTCCCCAGGCAGGGGTGTGCGGGAAGCAACTGGATAGATGTTTCTCTCGCACATGGATGTTTCTCTCCCTCCCTTTCCCTCTCTCTAAAAATAAATAAATAAATCTTTAAAAAAAATGTTGAGGGCTCAGCCAGGCCTTGTTGGGGCTGGGGATATGACTTTGGCTCTGAAAGAACTCATCCTCTAGGCTGGTTTTGGGGAAAGATCTGGCAAACCTACTGAAAATAATTACAGTACAAAGCTGGTAAGCACGAACATAGGCAGTATGTATGCCAAATGAGTAGGAAAAAACTGCCAGTTTAATTCATTTTGTGACCACTGCCATCTCTAACGAGGAGCGGGGACTGGTCGGAGGCTGCCCGGTGGCTCGGGATTGCCCCCAGCAATGGTTCCCGAGGGATGGGCGTGTCCCTCCAGGAGCACCCAGCACAGCCTGGCTGCGTCAGGGCGGGGAGCCTCAGGCGTCAAGTGAGTAGAGGCCAGGGACGCTGTCAAGCACCCACAGTGCGCGACAAAGAATATGCAACCCCAGGTGGCAGTGGTGTGGAGGCTGAGAAAGCCCAGCTGAAGGCATGTACTCTCAACGGGGGCAAAAATTGGCCCTCTGGGCCAAGAAAGACTCTCAGATGCCCCAGTGGTTTGTAACACTCCAAAAGGCCACACCCATGAACAGTAAATCTGTGTTAGTGACCTTTCATGGTGGGGGCACTGAAAACTGCCCGAAAAGCTCCTTAGGGCAGCAGTAGTGAAAAAAGGTGGACACACGCGGGTCCACACTGACCCCCTCAAGTGCGGCCTGGGTGGGGCCCTTGCCTCCCTTTGCCTCTGGAGGGCCTCAGTGGCCTGGGCGCGGACGGTGTGTCCCCAGCCGGCTCTCACTCACCAATCCCTGCACCCAGCACACCTGTACACCTGTCTGCGCGCTCCTGCATACCTTGGAACAAGTCCAGCAGGTTTCACCTGCAACGGGATGAACGGTCCACTCCCGTCCAGGGAGGGATGGCGGGACTGTGGACCGCTGGTGACAGCCCACGCGGGTGTCCACAGACCATGGTTTCTCTCCACGGCTACCACCCTCTGTAACGCCTCACTCCTGTCCTGCACCCGGCTCCAAGGCCCGCTCACAGGCTGTCCAGGACGTTCTCCCCGACGACTCGGCGACGTGGTCCCAGGCGGACTACTCACACCCAGCAAGTTGGAGGGCTCCACTCACTACCTCACCTTGTCCCAATTCCTGCCCAAAGGACTCAAACCCTTTGCAGATTTAAGAGGCCGCACCTTGACCGTTTGAACCTCTGCAGGTCCGACCCCCTACCTGGCCAGGCGCCAAGCGCCGACTCCTCTCCCAACCCCGCACCCTCGGAGCTCCCACCTGGACCGAGCGGCTGCAGAAGTGAGTTTAGGGAGAGGCAACGAGAGGAAGCGGGGCTTTTGTGGGTGTCTGCGCTCCTCCCTCAGCAGACAAGTGAAACTTCATCCCAGGCTTGCGCGCGCTACACAGCCCGGGGAGTGGGGGCCCCTGAGCCCCCGCGCACCTGGCCCTCGCCCCGCCCAGCCCTTGCACCTGGTGGTCGCTGCTCGCGTCCCAGCCCCGCTCCTCGCGCGGCCAAAGCGGGCAGGCCAGGAGGAGGACCGAGCGCGCAGCCCCGCGCCCCGCCGCTCACCTCTGCCAGCCTCGCGTGGCTCCGAGGTCGGAGCCAGGGACCCCACGGCTTCTTCGTGGGGAGCCCCCGCCCTTCCTCCAGCAGCGCCGTCAGCAGCACCACGCCGAGGAGGAGCCGCGCTCTGCCAGGGAGCCGGGGCATCCTGTCCCGCTGAAGTCTCTCCACCCGCGCTTCCGCGCCTCCGGACCCGCTCCGGCGTTTATTGGGTCCCGGCTTCGCCTCCTTCAGGGGCGGGAAGTTGGGGGGCGGTGGCTCAGGCCTGGTCTCTGGGGCGCACGGGGTGGGGGCGGGCGGCGCGCCACCCCCTCCGGCCGGAGCCCCGGGAGGGGCGCGGGCACTGCTCTCGGGGTCAGCGCCCGGGATGTCCCCCGCCCTCCCGGGAGGGCTGGCCTCTCGGCTCTTCCTTTGATCTGGCCTCCTCCCTGCCCTCTGTGCCCGCCGCCGCCGTCGCTGTCGCAGCCCCAAGCGAATTCCTGTAACGGGGAATTGGCAGCGCGCGGCAGGCGCTCTCCAGGCCTGGCTAGGACTCCTGCGAGGGTCGCCCTCCCCGCGGGCACTCTGACCGCGACGCTGGGGCACGTGGGCAACCAGGGCCTCGAGAGCTAGGGATGCGCTGCAGCCCAACGCCGGACCCTTCAGATCTTGGGCAAATGTTTATTTTTTACTCCAAGTAGGTTTGCTTGGGGAGAAAGGAAGGCCTGGAAGTACCCCCCCCCCCGCCCCCCACCCCCGCGGCTCTCCCAGCTTCCCTCCTGGATGCGAAGACCACCAACACACCTGCCACTCTGCACCTAGTTTTCTCAGGGTGTTTGCTCTCTGAACACTTCAGAAAACAGCTTGAGACTCAGATGTGAGGACTGAAGGGAAACAAAGTTTTGCCACCCTGAAGCTACCGGTTTGGGATATTGGTTTTAAGTGTTTATTGAGAGAGAGGCAGAGAGAGACAGAGAGGGAGAGCGAGAGAGAGAGAACATTTGCCGCACCCCCTTTCCTGCCCAAGAGATTCAGGCAGAAAAACCTGTTTTAGGAAGGAGATCTTAGAATGCTGCCTTAGCCTAATGTGAGTCCAATAACTACTTCTATCTGTGGCTCTGTGTGGGGAGGGTTCAGAAAAGGGGCAGTGGCCTCTGCCCACCCTGCTGTCTGGGAGAAAGCTGTCCCCCGGCTCCCACTTGTTGTCAGACACTTCAGTTCCTCCCTGTATGCCTCTGGTGCCTTTCAAGCCACTGCCCGGGTGCTGGGGGTAGAGGGAGTGAGTCTGAGTAGGTCTCTGCATGTGGGTTCCATGCAAGGGGAACTTCTTGGCACGCCAGAAGTTTCTTCCACCAACTCAATCCCTGCTGAATTTTGCAGCCAGAAGTTATGGGGGCTTATCTTCCTAGTACTGGAACCTTGGGCTGGGGGGCCTGGGGTGGGGCTGGAACTCCTCACTACTGAAATATCCCTCCCAGATTTTTATCCACCCCTTTAGGTGTGGGACCAACCAGCCCATTTAGCACTCCAGGCCACCTCTCCCGCCAGTCTGGAGCTGTTCCTGAGCAGCACCCGGGGTCCTGCCGCCTGCGGCCACCCTCTTGGCAGAGTTTCTGAGGCAAAGGTTTGGTGATGAAGGAAAGGAGGCTTTTTCAAAAGCGACACAATCTTGGAATAACAGCTTTCAACAAGAATTACTGTATTTTGCCATGTGTAATGTACATTTTTGCCCAAATTTTTGAGGGAAAAACAAGGATGGGCATTAAACATGGGTAGTACTTATTCTGTATCTCTATAAACATTTTTAATTTTTTATTTATGCTTATGCATTAAAAGTGTAACTCTTACAAAGTAATACTGGCATCCATATGCAAAATAATACCCTGGAATACCATCATTGGTTTTGTTTCTAAATATAAATTAAAAGTTGAATTAAAAAGTTAAAACACAAGATTTTTTTCCCTGAAAGTTTGGGCCAAAAATGTGGGTGTGCATTATTCATGGGAGCTCATTAGACATGGCAAAATGCGGTAGTCGCTTAGGCTTATCAATTAAGACTAAACTCTTTAGTTACAGCTTCAATCACTTAAGCCTATCAATTAAGACTAAACTCTTACACTTGGGTTCTTTTAGCATTTCCCGTCCCCCCCCCCCCATTAGTTTTTAGTTATTTCTATAGGGTTAGTTTACAAACTAAAATAATGTAAGACACAACAATTTTGGAAGAATGGCAGGCTTCTGTCTCAGAGCTCATCCCCTCGAGAACGCCCAAAGAGTAGGCCTGCCACCCTCTGCCAGGCCAGCCCGATGCCAGGCTGTGCCCAGAATTCTTTCCCATCTAAAATACTGTCCGCTGGGAAACACAGGCAGCTGCAGCAGGTCCTCCAGGTGTTCTCGAGGAAGAAGGGTCCTTCGGAGTCAGAGCACGCCCAGGAGCCGAGAGCCAGCCCTCTTCTCATTCCCGTGAGCTCTGGAGGCATTCAGCTTCTCAGCCAATCCCGTCCCAGACTGCTGGCCATTGCCCCTGCAAACCCCTGCGGCCTCTCCCTGCTCCTCCCCAGTGATCTGATTGATCTGATCAGATCTCTCTGTATTGGGTGGATGTGGTTTCTTTAAGTCCATGGTTGTCGGACTTCCATTCAACTTGATTTCCGATGGTTCTGAGTGATGTCGTTCTATAGTTTAGTTGTCACTCTGATGGTTTGTGTGAGGAGGTAAGTCGTGTTCCCCTATGCCTCCATCTTGATCAGAAGTCCCAACTTGATCCATTTTTTGGTCATATTTTTTGTGTCCCAAGAAATTGTTGCCTAACCAAAGTCACAGATTTCCTTTTGTATTTTCTCCTAGTTCCATATTTTAGTTTTCATGTTCAGATCTGAGTTGAGTTCATTATAGTGTATGATGTGCGGGTGGAAGCTATGGATGAAAACGGGCCCACAGACCAAACCTCCCAAGCTCAGGGGAGGCCAGCTTGCGGGCCCTGCAAACTCACAGCCCAAAGGTTACCCCGTTGACTGGTCTGAGCATATCAGTTCCTCACTAACTTTGCAGGTCACAGCCTATTTACTGTCTTTTTGCATCTAGGGTAACATATCTTTGAAATGGCAGAGAAATCTCCCTTGTGGGCCCTCAGGGCACAGACTCCCACCGGAGCAGACCACAGGACCCCTCATTGTTATCTTGTTCCCCGAATACCATGCCTGTATGTTGGATGTATTATTTATTAACTGCCCTGCACCCTCCAATGTAGAACAAGCACGTGTCTTACATCTTATCCAATCCCAGAGATTTCCCCGCCCCTTAATCGACTGCCAGTGGATTCCATGTAACCCTCCGCCTGTCTCCTCCTCTGATTCTAACCCTGTATAAAAGCAGCTTGGATGCTGCCACTCTGCAGAGCATTTTCTCAATTCCTTGAGATTTTGCTTCCCAGCAATTGTCAGTTTGGCTCAAATAAACTCATAAAGTTTCTATAGGTTTCAACCTTGACAAAGGTCATTTCCTGCAGATACTTACCTAGCTGTTCCAGCACCATTAGTTGAGTAACTCTACTTTCCCATTGAACTAACTGGGCACTTTTGTCAAAAATCAACTCACCCTATATATGTGGGTCTATTTCTGAACTGTAGTCTGTTTTATTGTTCTGTCCATCTGTCCTAATGCCAACTGCACAGTCTTGGCTACTGTAGGTTTGTATGGTTCCAAAATCAGGTAGTGTAAGTTCTTTCTCAAAATTTTGTTTTGGCTATTCTAGGTCCTTTGCATTTCCACATGATTTTATCAACTTGTCAGTGCCTGCAAAAAAGCAAAGGCTTATCTTTTTCAATGCTTCCAACTTTTCACTGCCCCAGTAGGTAGGACGAGTCCTCAGTGCGACAGCCCAGTGCGGCAGGTGGTACCTCCTCCTCCCCAGCCTGCCCCACCCTCTCCCCTGGGCTCAGGGAGCACGGGCCACAGCGTCTTCCAGATCCTTCGCTCTGCAGAGAAGTCCTCTCCATCAGCCCTGTCTAAACCAGATACTAGTCAGTCGTTTATCACGTTCTTCACTTCTCTTTCGTAGCACTTAGCAGTTTGTGCAACGGTACACGAGTGTGTTCCTGCGCTTATTTGTTCACAGAAAAGCAGGAGCCACGTTTGCTGGCTGTTGTTACTGGGAGTGCTGAGCAACGTGCCTGGCACCGGACGGCCCTCCGGCCCTCCGTGTTTACTGGTTGACCCCGCTTTGCCCTCTTCTACCTCCCCCGCCCCCTTTCCCTCCAGTTCTGTGTCTGTGAAGTTTTGTTTTGCTTAATCCCTTCACCTTTTTCAGCCAGCCCCTCAGCCCTAGCCCCTCTGACACCCTTCAGGTCCTCACAGGCGCTCTCAGAAGTCATGCACCTAAAACTCATGCCCACTATTTACACAGCTTCGGTCATCCAACAAAGTGAAAAAAAAAAATCCCTTGGCAAAAAAGGGAGAAGGGGGTAAGGAAGAAAGAGCAACATTTTAACTCATTACTTAAATGTTTATTGACATCTCCCCTCCTCTCACTTTCCCCGACTATATGAGCACTGCAGCGACAGAGAGGGGTTACCGCAGCACCTCTTGCAGCTGCCAGGCTACAGGTAAGTTGGGCAATGGGAAAAATAAGGACCAACAAAGTAAGACATCAGCTCCCCATAAGCCATTTCTCTATTCCTATGCTCTCTTGCCCCTTCTCTTAATGTCAGCTACTTTTATGCAGAGAGGGACTGCAGGCACGCTGGCTGAAGTCTCGGTGGTTTCACCAGTCAGTACCCATGACGAACCATCAAGGATGCTTTTTGTCGGTCCAACCACTGGTTTAACATCACAGAGGTAAGACCTAAGGGTTAGGGTGCAGACAAGTTTCCCTTCCACCCTAGTCAGTGATGGGTCCCACACTCCCTCGGAAAGCTGGGCCAAGTGGCCGCACTTTGTGCAAGAAACTTGGGAACTGTGTTGGAAAACGCAGAGTCTGACTGGGCTCAAGGGTCCATACACGTGGAAGGATGCACTCAGCCATGCAGATGGCAACGAGGCAGGACATTTAGCACAACCTCGAGGCACTGCTTGTTTTTACCTTCCAGCCTCCCACAACTGCTCTAAAAGAACGCAGTTTTGGGTATTGCTTCATTACAAACACAGTAACTGCAGTCTAACAGCCAATGCATTCTTTAGGGTCAGTTTATTATCTCTCATCATACCACAAAGAATCACAGTTTAAGGCCATTTTTCATGTCTACTATGCAGGAAGCAAGACCTTGCCCACAGCTCCCCAACCAAGCCACCCACAAGGGTGGACTGGGAATGTGATATTTGCAGACTTGCCACAGAAAACTTGAATAAACATTTTCAATAAGGGCTGTAGATACTCCCCTTGGTTTCCTCCCTAGAAAAGATTCCATGGCAGAAGATGCTTGGAATACAGGTCACTGGAAACAACAAAAGAGGCGACAGCATTTTCTGTACAATTAAAAGCAAATGGATCATTGGCTGGCCCAGCACTTCTTCAGCATGAGAAGACAGGAAACCAGCCCTCTGTGTCGGCTATCTGGGCACATGGCAACTGGCTAGGAGCCTGGACACTACAGTTCAAGAGGACAAAGCTGAGGAGAGAATAGACATGCTTTTCTACACATGAAAGTTATTTTGATTAACTGGCTTAATGGATTAAGATCTTCTATTTTAAACTGGTAGTAGCATGTCCAAAAAAACTGTATGTCTTGGGGTTGTACTTGATGGGGAAGCTCAAGAGTTGGAAAATTTTAGTTTTAGGTAATAATAAGCCTACTAATGAATGCATGTAAAACACTATTATTTGGGAAGTGAGGACACGACCCACCCTGACTCCAGGACTCCACAGGCAATTGGACCTTTGTGCCCCAAGGGGGTGGCGGGGGGGTAGGGAGGAACTGCAATCAAGATGGTGTTTGAGCCACTGGGTTCTGGGGGGAGACATTCCTCCACTCAGGACATAGGACACAGATACAGAGTCACCCAGGACACAGATGAAGAACCAGCCCAGCACACAGATAAAGAATCACCAGCCAACAGATGAGAGGATGCTAGGGAAATTGCCGGGCTGCAGCTTTTAGCTGATTAACCCTTTTCTGAATTCCAAATCCCTCACCTACACTTTTTCCTCCTTATAAAAAAACGCCGATTTGAAATGGAATGGAAGACAGTCTTTAAGGGTACATAACCTGCCGTGTTATCAGGCCCCCGACTATCTGAATAAAGTGCCCATAAAGATTCAATCCCTGTCTCTACCTTTTGGTTCCGGTGGTGACAGGCGGCACGGACGCCGACTGTTCCCATTTCCCATTTAAGCAAACAGCTGCTCAAGTGCCATGAACCCTTTGATTTTCGTAACTACTCCTTCACAACCCCTTTTCACTGCGCTGATTTTACCCATGTGAAATGCTCAACAATTCTCCTTGATCTTCGTGAAGGTAGACACGGAAAACCACCACTCCCCCCCTCCCTAACCACATGAGTTATACTGACCACATTTCGGCTTACCTAGGACACTAGGAAAGACACCCTGGGAATGAGGACACAGCAATTCGTAGAGAACCAGGTGACAGTCCATTGTATTGAACTTTGTGCAGGTGGTTCTGCCACATCCCTACACAAGAATCACTCCAATCCTCTTTCTCCTCTGCCTGCGGCATTGCCAGAAGTTCTGTGCTGTTGCTCAGTCCAGGCACCAGAGGGCCTCATTAATTTGGAAAGGGAGGCTCGGGGGTGGGAGGAGAAACGAGGCAGTGGTGAATGCCACTTTATGTCCCCTTCTCTGAGAAATCAGGAAACCTCTCCATGCACGTAAGCCATTCTTCCTCCTGGTTTTCACCGACAGGAAGGAAGTGCAATGCATTACACACTGCAACACTCAACTGGACTGGACTCGTCTTAGGCTTAGATGCAGGCTCCCTCAAGTAGGGAAGAAAGAAGGAGGTCCTCATCTCCTCCTGAAACATAAGGCTGCGTGTACAAGGAGAACAAAGAATCTGACTTAGCGATCGTCCCAATACAACACTACCGCAGACCAGCTGTCTCTGGAGTTGGAATTCTGCAATCAAGAACTGGGAGGGAGAGAAAGAAAGAAAGGCCGACTACAGGAGGGAGGGACTGTAGAGACAAGTCATCAGGCGACCCTCCTATTCCTTGGCTTCTGACAGGGCATGAGGCAAACGCACAGCCCACAGCGGTGGTGTAGGATGCTCCTGTCCCCTGTGTGACTGCTGCATGAGGAAGCAGCGTGTTCAGCCCGCCTGAAATCCTCACCCTTTGTCACAGTTGAAGAGTGACTAAAAGACTGAGATGCTGAGTTCTTCAAACAAGCCAGCAGCACTTTGGGGTTCTGAAGGCTAGAACGTTTTATAGAGAAGAAATTTTCCAAAGCAAAGCAATAAGTTAAAAAAGTACTCCAAAGCCCCTGAACGTTTTCGACATTTACTTGCTTTAGAACGTACGTTATATTCTAGGGTAAAGGTGGGAGGACGCTCTGCCACTTGCTCCATTCTGCGTGTGTGATTTCGATGACCCCTCATTATAGATTTTCTGGTTTCGATGTGATCTGCAGACAAAGGTCTTATAAACCTGAAATGGATTGAGGCAATGCTAAATAAAGAGGGGTGAGAAAACGTGATAAGCATTAGCCACACCTGTACTGACTGATTCTGGTTATCGGCTTTGGGAGTCCTGGTTAGCCGATGCGTGTTTGAATCCCATCAGATTCTCAAGTCAGGCTGCGTTAAACCACGTACTACACAACACTTACATGTCCTGGATTTCTAATCATTCCCAGTGACTGTAATTATATGCACTTGAATTTCCCCAAGTTCTTGGTTAATTGATACTTGTTATATGACTGGACCCTAGATTTATATTTCAGTTTCAAGAAGAGACAACCAGTGTGAATAATGTTTTGTCCTATAGAAAAAAGAGGCCCTGGATAGATCACAGGACTTACGTCTCTTTGAAATAAACCTATAATTTAACTACATTCATCCTGAAATAACTGTGCCAGCAAAGTGATATGTAATTTTTTAATGCCCATTTTAACTGATATTTTATATTGCAGTGACATCACGAAAGCCAAAATAAAAACACTAGCAGGTAAGTTGTTGCTTAAAGTTTGTGACTTTTGCAAACCCTACAACATTACACAGTAACTGCAGTGCGAAAGCCACCTAGCACTCTAGTAGGTTCTACGGTGAGAAACTAGATGCGCAGCCAAGGTTAGTGATGTACTTTATTTTACAGGACTCGTTACTTGGTTACCACAATTTCTCTTACTGCAACTTCTACATGCTACGTATAGTCCCTGCATATCTACTTGGTTCTTTTACTCACCCTTTACTATTCTTTAGAAAAACTAAAATGAAACCTTGGACTATTGCAAGGGCTTAAGACTCTCAGATGCTGAGAGTGACCAAAGATAACTAACTTAAGATGTGAAAACAAAACTTCACCCACAATAATACTGCTTACGGCCTCCCCTACACGCAGCAGTGCAGACATACCACAGCTCACGATAAGCCGCCCAAGAGAATCTGGCCTGAGAATTCTTACCAGTGAAAGGAGTGGTTTCAAAAACAGAAATGTGCAAAGGTACTTCCACAGAATTCTTGTCCATTCTGTTCCAGCCCTCCCCTATAGTACCCGATGGTGACCGAAAGACCAGCTGATCTTGGGTACAACAAAGTCAAAAGCTCTTTCCACTTGAGCTTTGGTTAACAGAAAAAAAGGAAGAACTTCAACATGGTGAGCTTCAGATTTGTTCTTTGGTCAAGCAGTGAAAGCTCTAAGAAAGAAGCCCCCCACCTGGTGCGAAAAAGAGTCAAAGGAGAGGGGACCCCTGTTTGGCAAAGAGAGAAGTGTTAAAACGAGCAAAAAAAAGGAATAGAAGGCAAGGGAAACCCTACACCCCCAACGTCAGGTTACGATCGTCTCAGGACATCAAGAGCAAAGAGAATTAGCCCTCGGTCCAGGCCGGGTAGCTCAGCTGGTTAGAGGGTCATCCCGATACCCCAGGGTTGTGAATTCAGTCCCCAGTTAGGACACACACAAGAATCAACCAATGAATGCATAAATTAGTGGAACAACAAATTGATGTTTCTCTCTCTCCTTTCCTCTATAAAACCAATTTTAAAAAATTAGAAAAAGAACACTCCGAAGAGTAATATTTAAGTGGGTCAACTTCTAAGAAGGCTAAATTAATAGCTTTAATCCTTAAATAGCAACAGGACAAATGATTTCTGAGCAGAGGATTTACCAATAGTATTTGCCTCTATCAGTTTAAATCCCCATCTGGGCCCAGACCCAGGCAGAAGCTGACAGAAAGCAGTAAGGGGCAAGCCACAGCCGATCCCCATGTAGTGACCAGCTCTTCCACGCGGCTCCGCCCGTCACCCAGCTGAGCACACTGCACGCCACTTCTCCGAGCAGCTGCATACACGGGGCGGTGAAGGGCCAGTCACCTTCACCAAAGAGGTCTGATGGGGGTTGGCTGTGGGTGCTTTCAAAACAATTTAACTATTCTAAATAGGGGGCTGGGGTATTAGGTCAGAGCTTGGGAAGAACCCAGAAATTGCACATACCCTCAGACAGTGACCGCCATGGAGAAATATGTGATGGTGAAGGAAGAAGTCCCTGTTCCATTCCAGAAACTGGAACAAGACCAAGCCTCGGGAGGCTCTAGACCGGGGGAGTTACACAGTGAGGGGGAATTTCAGCACTGTTAGCATTTACTGTTTTTCTTAAAAGGCTGAGCTTAAAACAAAAAGGAGAACACTTTGGATGATTACTTGACTGGTTAAATAAGGGTTCCAAGGTTGACAACCTCCGAGATCCGGAGTGGAAGTAAGTGGAAGGCACTTGCTCCCCGGGGAGGTGGGCCAGGTGAGTGTCGAGGCCGTGGGCCGGGGCCAGCAGGGGCTTCGGGTGGGCCCAGGCCTGCGAGGTGGCTGCGGGAGAATGACAGCCTGTGTGGTTAGCAGAGACAGGCTGGGGTCAGCGTGATTTCACAAGTAGAATAGTTATAAAATAAAACATTTTTTAATGAACAAAAAAGCAAAGTGAGTCACCTCTTTTAAAAGGTGAAATGTAGCAAAGGAAGATGTGAAGCAGTTTTTTCCCACTATTTACAAAATGCCATGTAGAATGGAGGTGGCCACCGTCAGTAGTTGAGGAAATGTCTTTCACATGAGATGGCCACAGAGGTGTGGTTCCTGGAACTGGCTCAGAAAGGCCACACACTGTCCTGGGTGAGGAGAGTTTCTTTAAGGGAGCACCAAAAAGGCTCAGTCTTCTGTTTCTTCGTATGTAGTCTCATCAAAGGGCCTGTCCAGCAGAGGCACCAACCGATGACGGGAATACTTCAGCTGTAACAGGTCCCCAACTTCGTCTATCTCCTTTAAAGCCTAAAAATACAGAGCAGAGGGGAGTCAGAGCCAGGAGGGTGCAGGCATGCCTGGAGCTTTACTTTCCTGAAAACAATTGTGGCAAGGTGATCCTCTGGTGGCCCGCCTGTGTCTGCATTTGCTCTGCACAGACCACAGCAGAGCTGTGGGAAGAGCCGCTTTTTGGGAAAGGACGCCAGGCTGATCGTGAATAAAGGGTCATGAATAGTAGGAACGCAGGATAAAGGGCATAATTCATCAATGTATGTTATGCTTGGTAGAAAAAGGAGTATGCAACATGGACTTGCTAGGCTGGCCAAGATTTGTGGTCCCCTCCTTTCACATTTCTTTTTTTTTTTTTTTTTAAAGATTTTATTTATTTATTTTTAGGGAGGGAAGGGAGGGGGAGAGACAGAGACAGAGAGAGAGAGAGAGAGAGAGAGAGAAACATCAATGTGCGGTTGCTGGGGGTTATGGCCTGCAACCCAGGAATGTACCCTAGCTGGGAATCGAACCTGGGACACTTTGGTTCCCAGCCCGCGCTCAATCCACTGAGCTACGCCAGCCAGGGCCCCTCCTTTCACATTTCAGTACTTGCTCCTTCCAACACGACGCTAAAGAGAGCTGATGAGAAACCTGTGCCCAGATGCTTCCTAGATGCGAGATGGAGAGAGTGCCCAGGTGGGCTGCTGCACCGACTCCGTGAGACAAGGTGGAAGCCGCGAAGGAGACTCTGATGGGCTGCGGGCAGGGGAGGAGGAGGGGAAGGGCAGAGCTGCAGTCTGGGATCTGAACTTAAAAATCCTAACCTTGAGAGATTACCTCTACCTTGTTTTCCCATCTAAACTCTAATTGTCTCAGTATAACTTTCTTTTCTGTAAAATCAGCCCTTTATTTTTCAAAGAAAGTACGTTTCTTACAAAAAAACTCAAACACTACGGCAAGTTATGAAATGAACAGTCTCGTCCTGACTGGCACACTAGCCCCTCCTGTCCAGAGGCAATCTGTGGATGGTTTCTTATGTGCATTTTTAAAAAGTAAGTTCTTGGACATTCACACAGCAAAGTATGGCTCATAGTTCAGAGAGTTAATGTTTCCAAAAAGCAGCATACAGAGAGTCGAAACAGAGAATTCCAATATAAGAAAGGGACATGTGTTCAGAATTTCTCAGAAAAAGTTTACTGGAAGGATAGGGAAAGTTTAAGCCCAGATATCTCTCAGAAAAATCCAAGAACGACAGAGAAATTTTCAAATCCTAGATACTAAGGCTTTCCTTTTTGTCAAAAAAAGGTTTATTTATTATTTTTGGAGAAAGAGGAAGGGAGGGAGAAATAGAGGGAGAGAAGTATCAATGTGTAAGAGATACATTAATCAGTTGCCTCCTGCATGCCCCCAAATGGGGACCTGACTTGCAACCCAGGCTTGTGGCATGACTGGGAATTGAACTGATGGCCCTTTGGCTTGCAGGCTGGCACTTAACCACTGAGCCACAGCAGCCAGGCACAGGTCACCGAATGCAGTTTGCAATTCATGGTAGTTCTCCAAGCATCTGTGGATATTAACCTAGTGGGTCTAATAACAAATCTGAGATGAATGTGCCCTGGCTTAGGACAAGGGCCCTACCGATGACACCATCTCATTAGACTAAGAAGCAGTCAGGGGGACAGTAGGAGCCCTGTAACTTTCCAAATTTCCATCACAGCACATAAATCTCCGTCCACTCTTATAACCCAGAATGAAAATGTCCAGCTGTTTCAGAAAAGGGAAATCAGTTCATTATTAGTAAAAAGACACATTTACTGGTTTTTAAACTTTTAAAAATCAGTGTTTGTAGGGAGGAAAAAAACCCCACTAATAGTATTCCTTATTTATTCTATCATAAGATATAATAATATTCTTCACTCTGAGTGTGAAAAATCTAAAGCAGACTTAGGAGCTGGACTTCAGTACTCTAGCAGAAAGGGGCACATCTGAGGAAGAGGGTTAACTGAAAGCTCCGTATCAAAGCCATTTAAGGCTGAATTTCAGCTGGGAGAACACATTAGCCATTTATGCTCCTGACCTGTGATATAGGACTTATTAATTTAAAACAACACATGACTTCCTAAGATCACAGAGTAAGGACATTTATAAACTCCGACTTCAGAAGAACTTAGTATTTTTTTTTATCAGAGTAAGAAAGAAAATGAATAGACACAGAAATAAACCCACAGTAGCCCAAAGAGATGTCAGTAACAAAATCTCTAATTCCATACCAAATACTTCAGGTGAATAAATTTTATTTACGTGAAAGATAAAATTACAACTACAAACTGCTGGCCATTATGTGGGGTTACCTGGCTAAATCAGAAATAAGGAACCACCACAAGGACCACCATTTGTTAACAAATAGTCTACACCAAACCTCTGGATCACAGGGCAAGATGGGTTCTTAGGGAAAAAGTGTTAATTACAGGGTTGATCACAGCCCTTTAATAAGGGAGTATTTTAGGGCAGCTGTGCCCATGAGCCAATAGCCCTGCCCTCCTCATTTTTAAAAATAACACTTTAATGAGATACAATTCACATGCCACAAAATTCACCTTTTTAAAGTGTACAAAGTCAATGCTTCTTAGTATATCCAGAGTGGTATAACTTTTACCACTATCTAATTTTAAAGCACGTCACCTCAACAAACAAACCCCATACTCGTATCAATCAATCCTCATTCCTCCCTCCCCCCAAGCCTTGAGAACCACCAATCTATTTTCTGATCCTACGAGTTTGCCTAGTCTAGACATTTTGCACGAATGTGGTCTTCTGTGTCTGGCTTCTTTCACTTAGCAAGTGAAGCAAAGGTGGCTCGCAAAGGTCACCCATGTTGCTTGTGTCCAACTTCATCCGTTTGCATGTGCTTATCCAGTTGTCCAGCAAGATCTGTTGAAAAGACTAGTCTTTCCCTATTGACTAGCTTTGGTTCCTTGTTAAAAAGCAACTGGTGGCTCAGTTGGTTGGAGCATGATCTCATATAACTAAAGGTTGCAGGTTTGACCCCCAAGTCAGGGCACATAATTAACTAGATTGTGGCTTTGATCCCTGGTCAGTAACCTACCAATGTTTCTCTCTCATACTGATGTCTCTCTCTCTCTCTCTCTCTCTCTCTCTCTCTCAAATCAATGAACATATCCTCTGGTGAAGATTAACCAAAAAAAAAGGGGGGGCGTGGGACAGATGCTTGAGTTCATTTCTGGACTCTCAATTCTTTCCACTGGTCTACATGTATAGTCTTATGCTAGAACCCCATTGTTTTTAATTGCTGTAGCTTTGGAGTAAGCTTTGAAATCCGGAAGCTTGAGTCCTCCAACTTCAATTTTCTTTTATTAATACTGTTTTGGCTACCCGGGGCCCTACAGTTCTTTATGCATTTGAGGCCCAGCTTTTCTGTTTCTGTTAAAAGGCCATTGGGATTTTGATGAGGATTGCCCTGGATCCATGGACCTTGCTATACTGCCACCTTAACAATATTAAATCTTCCAACCCACAAACACGGGATGTCTTTCCATTTACTTAAGTCTTTTTTCTTTTTAAACATTTTTAAAAAATGTATTGATTTTTGAGAGAGAGAGAGAGAGAGAGAGAGAGAGAGAGAGAGAGAGAGAGGGAGGCAGGCATTGGCTTGTTGTTTCATTTATTCACTCGTTCATTGGTTGCTTCTTATACGTGCACTGACCCAAGATCAAACCTGAAACCCTGGTGTATCTGGATGATGCTCTAACCAACTGAGCTACCCCATGGAAGCTATTCTTGTCTTTCAGCAATGTTTAAATGTTACCATAAATAAAATTTCCTTAATTTTGTTTGTTCAGTGCTGGTGTACTGAAGCATACTAATTTTTGTGTGTTGATCTTTCACCTGCAAGTTTGCTGGCTTTATGTTTATCAGCTGTAGCAGGTTGGGTTTTTTTTGTGTGTGAATTTACAGCATTTTCTCTATATAGAATCATGTCACAAAGCCCATTACTAAACAAAAATTCTTTTGTATCTAATAATGTTCATATTTAGTTCCATAAAACATAACAACAAAATTACTGCAAACCTAGGATTTCAAAAAATGCACTGCATGCTTTAAAAAAAATGAAATGGAAGGCAAAGTCAAATAATCCCTCAGGTGGATCTTATGAAAACAATTAGAACTCTCAATTGGCAGGCATATTTGTTGGCAACAGAAATCTGCTTAGATACCTAGTTAGGTCTAAATTCTTTCATGAATGTGTACGGTTCCTAGTAGCCAAAGTTGCTGCCAGAACTTCCGGCAGTGTAGGTGAATGCAGTATTTGCCTCTTCCCACAACCACATCAAAATTATAAATAAACCACCGAACCACCAACATTCAGAACTGCCTGAAATCTGGCTCACTGGAAGTCCTACACCTAGGGAGTTAAGCCACATGGAGAATGGTTGGAGGGGCGGAGAAGCAGCCACACCCACACAGGCAGATAAAAATCAGGAAGGATATCTGCTGCAGAGGTTCCCTCTGGGGAGCAAGGGGCCCCAACCCCAAACCAGGCCACCCAGCCCAGGGTTCTAGAGCCAGGAAGAGAAGTCCCCATAACTTCTGGCTGTGAAAACTGGTGGGGGGATTGTGGCTGAGTGAGACAAAGGACTTCTGGCGTCCCAGGCAGTTTCTCTTAAAGTGCCCTTGCATGGACTTACTCAGACTCAATCCCTCTGAGCTCCAGGGCTGGGGCAGCAGCTTGAAAGGAACCTGAGGCATATGAGGAGGAACTGAATTGTTTAGTATCACGGGTGAAAACCGTGGGGGACATCTTTCTTCCAGACGGAAGTGCAGGCGGAGGCCATTCTTCCTTTGATGAGCCCTACCCTCACAGAGCCGACAGGGCAGGCACCATATCTGAGTCTCCATCAACCTAGCCATCTGTCTGTCCCACCCTGGTGATTCCCTGAGACCATACTCCACCCAATTTATGGGCCCACCCAAGCTGTTTCCATACAAATGGCCTGTCAAGGATTATGCTTCAGATTGTCCTAAAATCTCTCAAGCAATCTACTAGATATAGATTGCAAAAACACTGGTTATAAGGATGCTCAATGAACTTAGTGAGAATCTCAACAGTATAAAAAAGGACCAAAGATGAAGAATACACTAACTAAAATGAAGAATAATTTACAGGGAATCAACAGTAGAGCAGATGAAGCCAACAATCAAAACAGGTATTTGGAATATAAGGAAGCAAAAAACAACGAATCAGAACAGCAAAAAGAAAAAAGAACCCAGCCCTGGCTGGTATAGCTCAGTGGACTGAGCATGGGCTGTGTACCAAAGGGTCGCTAGTTCAATTCCCAGTCAGGGCACATGCCTGGGTTGCAGGCCAGATGCCCAGTGGGGGTTATGTGACAGGCAAGCACACATTGATGTTTTTCTCCCTCCCTTCCCCTCTCTCTAAAAATAAATCAAATCCTTAAAAAAAAAAAAGAAAAAATTCAAAAAACAAGGATAGTGTAAGAAGCCTCTGGAACAGCTTCAAGTGTACCAACATTCACACCATGGGGGTGCTGCAAGGAGATGAGAGCAAGAAATTGAAAACCTATTTGGAAAGATAAAAAACAGATTAAAGAGCTTCCCAGACAAGAAAAAGCTAAAGGAGTTCAATACCAACCAGTATTATATAAAATGTTAAAGGGTTTTCTTTAAAAAGAAAAAAAAAAAGTTGCCAATAAAATGGCAACAAGTACATATTTATCTAAATACATACATACATACATACATACACACATACAAGCCCATCTCTGCAAGGGCCTACAAGGCCCTCCACACTCTAACATCCATCCTGTTACTCCTCTGCCTTAGCCTTGTGTTCTCACACTTGTCACACATGCTCCTGCCTCTGGGCCTCTTCACTGTTTCCTCTGTCTAGAATGTTCTTTCTCAAGATACCCACTTGGCGAACTCCTTAATTGCTTTCAAACCTTTGTTCAAATGTTCAACATCAGCCTAGCATGTCCTCCTGTTTTAAATTCCATCCCCTCACTCTAAATATCTACTAATTTGTTTTCGTTTTCCCAAAGTATTTATACCCCTCAAATATTAGATAATTTAGTTTATGATTATATGCTTGTTTACTGACCTTCTCCTCCCACTGAAATGTTTTACAAGGGCAAAAAACAAAAGAAAACCAAAGTTGTTGTTAGAAGAATAATGTATTCCTGCTATCACAAAGTTAAAAAAAATCAATACAGAAATTCACCAGTAAATTTTTTTAGAAATGAGAAATCTATTGGAAAAAAAAATCTGAAAGCCTTAATCAAAATTAAGACAAAGAAAAACAAAGATACAGTTAATAAGCTGAATCCAATTTCTCAGTGTCTGAGTGTGATTAAGAATATACTTATACGTGTAGAAATTTTGCTATGTAGAAACAGGAGGAAAAACCAGTCCTCAGCTGCTTAGAAATAGAAAATGTCAATTAAATTGTTATAATGAAATTTAAAAACCCGCATTCATGACATTCTTTAAGATTAGTTGCTCTCCAATGAATTTTATGCAAACATCATGTTTTAGAGCTTTAAACTCCTAGAAAGCAATATTTATTTAAAGTCTGAAGTCTTAGATGTGTACAAATAGCACATTAAGAGACTATCAAGAGATGAGAATATAGTAAGAGACCATAAATAATTGTGATAATAACTAGGAGCCTCTACTATATGCCTGGCACTGGGTTAGGCCCTGGGGATAGAGAATGAGCAAAACAGACTTAGTTCCTATCTTCAAGATTTATCTAATGGAGAAGACTGTCATATGTAATGACAGGTATGAATAACTTACTGGGAAAATCCTAAGAGTCCAAGGAAAAACATCAAGTAACAGGGTTTGGGAATACCCTTGAGCAAGTTTTCTTTAAGTGGAGATGTGAAGAATGCGTAGGAGCTAGCAGGGCAAAGAAACAGAAGGCTCAAGAGAGGAGATCCCACAGACACAAAACACTCAAGAAAGTTTAGAGTAGAAACAGCTCGAGTAGAAAGAACTGTATGGTTTTAGAGGCCATAACGAAGGAGGGAGGGGAACAAAACAAAGCCAGGAAATTTCCAGAATCCTGATGATCACACAGGATCTGGAGGGTGATGCTAACAGTTTTGTGGGGTGTTTTGTTTTGTTTTGTTTTTGTAAAATAGCAATGTTTTAAGTAGCACTGTACATTCCTTCCCCTATTGTACCGCTAAATATCTTAGGTGCTCAGAGAACACCAGAACAACAAATGGTTAATTTCATGGGATAATCAGGCCTTCTTAGTACAAGGCATACTTATATGAAGGTAGAAGTGTCTACTTACAGTATCGAGAATTTCTTTGGTATGAGCTGCTGACAGGCAGAACCTGGCTCTGGACTCGATAATCGGGGTAGCGGGAAATCCCACCACAACTACTCCAACGTTCCGCTTCAGCATCTCCCGTCCAAAGGCACTGTGAGGGGAGACGGGGAAAAGAACCAAGAAGGCTCATAATGCATATAGCACTAAGGTCTTGCAGTGATGAATGATCTAAACTCCTCTGAGTGACAGGCATTGGAGTCTTCTATTAGGAATTTCCTCGAACCCCTTTTAAAGTACAAGTGGACAGTCCACAAAGACGTCTTTTATTCAACCCTAAAGTGGTTGCCTCCCAAACGATTTCCTTCACAAAGGTGAAAGAATGCAGTTGGCAGAGAGCAATTTTTAATAGGGCTTGCCTAAAATAATGTGCAATTGTGGCCTTCAAGTGTCCCAGTCAGTTAACAGTGGTTCAGAAGCTTCAAAATGAACTTGAGTTTAAATCCTGGTCCTTGAAATGTAAGGCTTGGTAGTTTTAAAAAAGCCTAAAGATCATAAGGATGCAGAGGATCTGCTGTACCATGGACAGCTTCCTGCTGGCAGAACGGCCCGCCAGAACTACGCTCTCCCTCCCTCCAACAACAGGCAAATCTCTGCCTGACTTGGGTGTCAAGATGCCTTTGGAATTCAGGGTTTCCTATGGCGTCCGTAAAGCCAGCACATCCCCAGGCTTCAGCTGCTGGGTCACTCAGCTGTCATTTAACACCCCACCCCAAGGCAAGGTGGCGGCATGTGACCTTTCTCCAGCTCTGTGTCTTGTCTAAAGAACACAGTTCTAACTTTTATGTAAATTTTGTCATATTTACTAACTTACACTTTATCTTTTTCTCTTTTTGATTTACCTTATTCCTTTTTTATTTTTCCCTGAGCCGTTTAAAGCATTTGTTTTAAGACGTAAAAATCTCACGTGTTTTACACCAGTGACTACTTCCATCAGCGCCAGCTTTCCCCCACCCCCTTGAGCACCAGCACGGCCTTCCACGGGCTGCCTCTGTGGCAGAGAGCGCCCGGGGGCCCTGCACCTTCAGCTCAGGCTCCCTCCTGCCCGGTGCTTCCTTCCAGCTCTGCCCCAGCCTCTCTAAGTCTTAGCTGTAACATATGCAGTCAGGGTAGAACCCGCTCTAAAGAAAGGGTTCTCAACTAAGTCAGTCCTCCAGACCGAGTAACTCTTCAAGTTACCTGGTAATTCCATTCCAAGAATGAGGAAAACTCTACACCTCTGCTTGGTTCACTCCCACCATGGCCTCTGAAGGCCACAGGCCAACTGCCCACGATTCCTGTTGAAAACGGAACTCCTTTTTTTCCCCTCAGTGAGCACCTCTGCCCAATTCCCCCCTCATTAGCATCTTCACAATCACTGTATTTCCAGGTTCCCTGATTGAAGTTTTCTTCCTCTTCACTTTAGTATACACTTACTGAGTGGCTTCTGAATGCCAGAGACTGTGGTGGGCAATGAGGATTCAAAGGTGAATGAAAATATTTGCCACTTTCCTGACTTCAACAAACCTTATCCAATTTTATATTTAAGACCCGTCAAAACTCACAAATCCCAATTATTTTACATCTCTGGTGCAATTTGCATGTAGTTATTTTGCAAATAATTATACCGGTTCACTTCATATTTAGTTTCCAAATGTTCTCTGGTTTTATTATACACTGGAAGCTACTCCAGGGCAGGGGTTTCCACTGCAGACACCTCGTACAAGCCCAAGAAGCTGGTGCAATCTGCACTTCAGCTACACTGCACTGCAACATGTCCTGACCTCAGGGCTCACTCACTACCCGCCTCCCCAGGGGCACAGCCGCACTTCAGCCCCCCTCACCTCCCCGCTATTCTCCCTCCCATTGGTGAGGCATGCTCCTGCCTTCTGGCCTTTGCACAAAAGCTTTCTCCAAGTGGCTAACTAACGCTCTCAGCTCCTTTAGGCTCAGATGTTATCTTCCCTTCCCACTAAGACCCACCCCGACAACCCCATTTAATACTGTAAACGGCCCACCCACAGGGAATGCTCAATCCCCCATATTCACTCTGTATTTCCCATAGCCCTTAACCCCTTCTAGCGTATGATGCAATTTATGTTTGACTCTGTGCCACTAGAACATAAGCTCCACGGGACAGGAGTTTTTATTTTTGTGTTCTGTTGGTTGATCTAACTCAATCCCCTTAGAAGAGTGCATTAAACTCAATTTTTTTAAATGAAAGACTAACAAGTTAACATACTGTATTTTACAAATTGATATCCACTCATCTGTGGCATATCTAGCAAATAAAGGTTAACATAATGAGGCCAGGACAATTTTCCCTGACTAAACACCTAAGCCTGAGTCTCACTCACGGAAACCTTAAGTCTCGAGAGAGCAGCTTGTAATCTGCAACAACATGTACCCGATTTTGGCTGGCATGTAGAGCATCAAAGGCACCACCGGAGAATCTTCATTTCCATAGATGATGAAGCCCATCTCTTTCAGGCGCCTCCTGAAATACCTGGTATTTTCAGCTAACTGCTGTATACACTCTTTGCCTGGAAAATAAGGGGGAGGAAAACAAAATAACACTAAGAAAAAAGGACTGGAGAAAAGATCGCAATCGCCCCTATCTCCATTCTATCAATCAGCCCTACGGTTTGTTTCTTCTTTTCCAACATAAAATATTTTTGCACAACAAGCTGTTATGAAATAACAAGCAAGATAAACATATCTTGCTTTGTCATACGAGGTGTTGACAGATTTTATAATAATGTACAAAATAAGTTTTCAACTAATATTTCCGTTGCACATAAGTCTCCTCACACGTTTTCATCAATACCATCTCATTCAACACTCTGCTGTCCCTTTGCAGCAGGTGATGTTTACTTTCACCTTCATTTTACAGATCAGGAGATGCTCACTGAGCATGGTGGTGGCTGACTTACAGTCACATGGCAGTAAGTGGCACAGCTGAGACTGGGATCTAGGTCTCTCAACTTCAATATTCATTCCAACTAGCCGTGCTGTGATTCATTTTACACATGAGACCAGAAATGGAGCCATTTAGAGCCCCAAAAGTTCATCTTCAGAGTGTGATTTTATCTCACCATTTCCCTAAAACTCCCACCAGATAGCAACAGCATATCCATAATATGTAAAATCATATTTTTAATCCCACTTTGTTCATCTTTCCTCTAACACAAATAAATTAAAACACACATTTCTCTAATGGCTGGCTAAATATTTGGCCTGTTTTAGACATTATGGTAGGTCCATCTATGAACAGACGTTGAAACAATTGTTCTGGAATAGAGAGGAAGCCATAAATTCAAAAGATCAGCTCCCAAACGACAGAACTCTTTAGTGCTCTTAACCACGAACACTCCCAGGTAAGAAAAGTTTTGCAGAGGAGGAAGGAGGGAGGCAGTAGAGGGTGAAGGGGAGCTACATGGTGATGGGAGGAGACTTGACTTGGGGTGGTGAACACACAGTACAATATAAAGATGATGCATTACAGGACGGTACTCCTGAAACCTGTAATTTTATTAACCAATATCACCCAATAGGTTCATTAAAAAAAATGGTCTACAGTCATTTTCTCACATATATTAGAAAGTCAGCAACTTAATATTTTAAAAAATGCTAATGTCATACAGTTTAAAAGAAAAATCAATCAACCAGAAATATAGAGGACTAGCACATTTCCTTACAATTAGAATTCTACCATATCATCACTGATGGGAAGCTACTCTAGATAAGTTTGCTACAAATAACCCCCAAATAATACTGTTTATGTAAATAATTTTAAGTTGACCAGAGAACACTACTCAAGCCTAGAGTAGCTTAGTGTGAAGTCTAAGGAACACCACTTAAATTATGACATATGTCTTACAAATAATAAAACAGACACTAAAGTGTATTATTATATTTAGGAATTTTGGGAAGTGATGAGACATGTACCCCAACTTTCCCCTAGAAATAGCAATATATGCGCACTCTACATTTAGAAGAAGAGAATTCCACTTCCACCATGACAGCGTACCAGTGACAGGCTCATCTTCCTGCCATAAACAATAAAAAACTGGACGAAGTACATAAGACAATGGCTTTGGTACACTGAGCCGCAGGCAGTGCAGGACTGTGCTGCATGAGCAGGTTAACTAACAGGGAGTGAGCCTTTGGACCGCCCGCACTGCCCAGCGCAGGCCCCAGGCTGCTGCGCGAGGAGGGGGAACCTAGTCCCGCCAGGTGAGGACACCAGAGATGGGAGTCGGGGAGGCTCAGGGGGCTAGAATCTGTGGGGCGGTGTACAAGAGAGGACAGAAGTGCAAAGAAGGAACCTGGGGGACCTGCAGGAGGGCCCCCTTGAGCCTTATAGGAGAAGAAACCTTCAGGTGCCAGGGAAGATCCACCAGCAGGCAGCAGACTGAATAGTTCCCAGTGCTCACACAGAGCTGGCAACAGTTTGTAGTTCCACCAAAATGGAAAGGCCTTTTAGACTTCATCAATGTGGTTTGTTAGAACGAAACCACTTTTAGAACCTATTTGATAAAAACCCACAGCCTGGCACGAAAGAGAGGAAAGTAAACGCATGCAGGTAACTTCTCAGAAAACTCAGCAGATATCTTTAATAGGTCCTTTTTAGTCCTCAACTTCTTTGAAATTAAAATTTATGCTCAGGAAGGAAGTAATGAACATGAAGTTAACAGCAGGTTGTGATGGAATCATAAGATTGAACTCTCTGAGGGAAACAAAAAGCCTATATAGAGTGGAGGACGGAGGTGTAAGAAGCCTCACAATTATCTACCTATTGATACCTTTAAATCACTTTTACCAGCACTACTGCAGAACTGTATTTATTATCCACTGCCAAAGAGATTTTTAAGTTGTACCATCTGCATTTCAGCCATTATCAAAAGGAATTATTTTAATCAAGTCTTAATTCCGAATTCTCAGGAGTCTCAGCCGTGTAATCTTAAGGTTTGAAGGAACTACTGTGTTATTACTCAAATAAAATTCCCTAAGTCCTCCCAGACAGGTGTCAGCCAGAACAGATAGTGCTCTATGAGCTCTTGGGACTGGTACAAAGTAAGGGATACAGAAGGCAGCATTTTGTCTTAAATGGCATTAGTGCTATCCACTCAGAACTTACGCTTCAAAGAATATAGCATGTACTCACTGCTTCAATAGCAATGTTAATTTTCAATTTGGCTGATGAGCTTTTACATAACATGACATAATCAACAAACTGTGTTTGAGTCTGCAACTTCAAAAATAACATTTACGGTGTTAAGTGAAATCTTTCAAAATAAAAGGCAGAAATATAAATGATGTTCAGCCGCAGCTGCTCCCCTCATTCATACTACACTCCATCACACAGCTCCTCATCTTCCCCGAGTCCCTGGGTATGCTGATACAATCTGCCTTCCTGGGAAAAACAGAATAAAATTATCGCTACTCTGCAGACTTATACTTTACAGTTAATTATAATTGACTGGAAAAATATGAAATCAAAGTACTTCTTTCCTCTCCTTCCTTTCTTCTTAAAGCTCATAATCTCAAAGCAGATAAGGGTTTTCTCAATTTAGGGTCCCAAAATAGAACAGATACCCTCCCGAATAGTGTCAGTTAGTTTTCTGCATTAATAGAAGTTAAGGGATTTGAGGTGGGGTAAAATATGGAAAAGTGCTACCCATATATATATATATGCTACCCAAATACTGCCTTGTTCTAATTTACACTATCAAAAACATTATATTGTAGATATTGCACATATTTCTTTAATACATTATGTTTAATAAAGTATTAGCTGTCCACCATTAACTTTAACCATTGTCCAAGGTACTATTTTTGCTATTTGAAAAGTTATTTTTTTCTAATATATCTCTCTTTCATTGAATTATACTGCAGAGTAAAAAGAAATATGCTTTACTCCTGTGGTTTTTCCCTTCAAAAGCATTTTTTAAAACATAGACAGAACAAGCCCAGATAGCCTCAGTGTTTACTTTGCCCATGTTAAGAAAGTGTCTCTGCCCGGACCACTGTGGCTCAGGTCACTGGGTGTTGTGCTGAAGGTCACCAGTTTGATTCCCTGTCAGGGCAGGCGTAAGAAGCAACTGATCAATGCCTCTCCCCGTCTTTTTCTTCCTCCCTTCTCCCTCGCTAATAAATAAATAAATTTTTTTTTAAAAGGATGTGTCTCTGCTGTTATCTAAAGCTGGAGTTTATATCCTTAAGGCCTCTTATACAAGCGTTTACAATATCAGGTAAGCCAAGTCACACACTGACTATGCTTTCCAAGGCTATTCTGATAGTAATTAAGGAAGCTCTTAGTACAGACTCCCTTTAAAGCAAAGAAAGTATATAATACAGTAATCACAATGCCAGGCTCAGTAAGTGTTTCCCTTTTCCCAGGAAAGTAATTTCTAATAATGAAAAAACTAGATTTTGCTTCAATTACTATTATAGTAACTATTAACCTTACCTCCCGATAAGATATACTGAACCCAAATATGATCCATTCCTAGGTAAATATACCCAATAGATCTGTGTACCAAAAGACAGGTATAAGGATGACACTCTTGCTAACAGCCAAAATCAGTAAACAATCCAAATGTCTACCAGCAGAATGGATAAACTGTAACATAGTCAAATAATGGGAACTAGACAACAAAATGAATTACTGTTCCATCTGAACATGTGGGTATCAAAGACATAATGAATAATACAATACGCCGTATTCACAAGAGTGATTATATGAGGGGGTGGGGAGGCCAAAACCAGAACTGCCTTCTGGAGGGCAGGCCCCTTGTGGTACAGGCTCCCCCCACTAGGTGGGTGTTCAGTATTCTAGGAACTCATCTGTATCAGTGTACCACCCAGTGTTGTTGTGAGAGGTTGTACTTGGCTTCAGTGAATATATTTTTTAAAGATTTTATTTATTTACTTTTCGAGAGAAGGGAAGGGAGGGAGAAAGAGAAAACACTGATGTACGAAAGATACATTGACTGGTTGCCTCTTGCACACCCCAAACTGGGACCTGGCCCACAACCTGGGCGTGTGCCCTGGGAGGGAATCAAACCGGCGACCTCTTGGTTTGCAGGCTGGCACTCAATCCACTGAGCCACACAAGCCAGGGCTAAATTAATAATCTTAAACATATACAACTACAATTTAATAATCATCCTTTAACTCAAACAAACAAACAAACCCAAACCCAAACCCAAATAGAACCATTCAGATTTTACAGGGATGGGCTCAGGCATTCTCTTAGTCTCTGTTGTTTAAAACAAACTAGAACACTGAAATTTTTGGTGCTGGTGCTCCAGGAATTTTTAAGACGGGAAGTGTTATCAAAACAGCACTTCAGAGTTAAAGGCAGGAAATGAAAGCATAAAGGGGTTGGGCCTTACTTCCTTTCCTCCTTTTCCTTTTAAAATAATCATATGAATGAATGCACAAATCTGACAATGTTGGCCATTAAAAAATACATTTTCTATCTGTGTATCTACCTTCATTCCCATGAAGTCATTTTCCCCTTAGACGTTTCGGTACT